TGAAAAATCTTTTGTTACAAATTACCTAGAGATGCTGGGTAAAATATAAACGATAGCACAGAAATTTAAATGCATAGCTGAATTCACAGAAACCAGAGGTAAATCCCAGATGCAAGAAATGGAAAAGAGGATGGAAAATCAGAGGGTTAGGTAGGTAAACCTTTTAGGGGTCATTATCAGAGCTGATAAGGGGCATAGCTTTTAATCCCTTTATGGGACTGGAGGCCAAGCATTAAGCCAAAATAAAGTGAGGATTTGGAAAAGAGACCGTTTTTTGCTCCTTCAGTAAAGGGTGAACAAGAAAAAAAATTCATCCATTGGCACAGAGACAGGGAAGCAGGACTGAAACCCCTTGGCTTTGGGTTTTTCGTTTTAAAAAGCTGAAACCTCAGGCCTATATCTCATTATGAACTTTGGAAAACAGAATTTGAACCACCTGCCTGTTGGAGAGCTCCCATTAACTAAGAAATTAATGTAAAATCAGTCCTCCAGTCATTTTTACCCTTGAGACACCGAGAAGGTGCAAATACAAAGGGCTCTGGGAAGACTCCACAACCCAGGCCTTGTGGGACCCCCAGAGAAATGAGCCACACCAAATAGGCGCTCATGTAGAAATAACAAGACCATGAGAAAACAGTACGGCATGCCTCAAGGTGAGACAGCAGACGAGAGGAGGAAGTAGAGCTGTATGAATTTAAAATAACAGAAGTCTCAAAGATAATATAAAGGAAGTGCTTTAAATAAACTCATAAAGAGAATGGAGACTCTTAGAACAAGTTTTAGGTCCATTCATTTATATATAAGGATTGTAAAAATTCAGTGTTGTCAGTACCCTGATTATCTTACTCATTTTTGCTTTTTAAACCTACCTTTTCCAGAATGTAAATGGAACCTAAATATTCACACACAGCGTTCTTTGCAGTATTTCAGCTGAGCTCTTGAAAATGCTATTATTGACCTTTACATTCAGGCTTAACTAGTTGGCTCTGCACTCTTCTCTTGCAAGAACTGTACCGGGCCATCTGGTTAATCATCTTAATAAGAAAAAGCCTTACACAATAATTTCACATACCAAAGACATTCTCACTTCTACTTTCTGAAACTAACCAGGCTTTTAAACTAACATTAAATGTTAAACCAATCAACACTTAAAAAATAAATGTTACAGGATGGGAGAATGCAAATATGCATTAAAATGTATACCTGTTTTAAAGTAGCAATATGAGGATTAACCAAGGGCTGAAATCAGTATTTGTAGGAATACCGAAGCATTAAAAACATTAGACAATGAAGATTTGTGTTTTGGAATTGTGCCTTTTGGGTTTCCTGTAGTATTTTAAAAATAGGTAGATATAGAATACTAATCCACCTTGTTCTTTATAGAATCATAATAACTATCCTCTGTTACCAGATTTACAAAAACTACAGCACCCACGTGATTAAATCACATTTCAAATATGAGAATGGTAGTAGTTCTGCTACTACACTAACCATTAAGATAATGCCCTGTTATTTTATTTATTCAAGTTCCTTTGTCATTTCTCTCCTTCCGTCTACCTGTATGTTTTAGATACATTTAAATTAAGAAAAGAGAGTTCAGTTTTATCATTGATCATGAACTTTTGGTTAGTTAGAAGCCAAAATATTCCCTTTTTTTGCTATGGAGGTATAATTGGTATAATGTTATATTTAAGTTTCAGGTGTACAACATAGTAATTCCATATTTGTGTATAAAACATAAAATATTAACTTCTAAAGTAAACTTGAATAGGCTTCTTATAAAAGCAATACATGTGCACTTTGTACTTTTATGTATTTTTTAATTCCTCAAAATTAAAAGTCAGGATAAAAGTATATATCTGTTTTAAGGGTAAAAGAATTCATAAAATAGCAGTTTTTTACAATTAAAATGTGTAGACTTAAACTAGGAAAAAAAGGCAAGGAATCTTTTGAAATGAAGAAAAATTTATTGTGTGGAACTATTAAAGATGATCAGGGACATTTTTTTAGATGCATCTGATATTTATGGTGTTTTGTTTTTTTAGCTGAAATCCAAAAGCTTTAACAACAGCCCTTTTTTTAGAGAGAGAACGCGCGTGCGCAAGGCGGTGGGTGGGGCAGAGGGCGAGAGAGACAAGCAGACTCCACACTGAGCGTGGGGCTCAATCATATGACCCTGAAATCATGACCTGAGCCGAAATCAAGAGTCGAACGCTAAACCGACTGAGCCACCCAGGCGCCCCTAACAGCAGCTCTGGAACCTCCATCCTTGCGGGTTTAGTGCCCTCCCTACCACTTATTTGATCTCTCACCTTTTAGAGCCTTGGTATCCTCATGTGATAAACATTGATATTAGTAGCACTTTCTCATAGGATTATTGGTGCATGTTCATTAATACAGAGAAAGCCCATTGCTTTTCAACAAAGCACGTTGGGTGTACTTTTCTTTGTAATTCAGATTATATCAACCCATGCCCAGTTGTTAGTAGGAATAAAGGTTTTTTTCTGAGTATCTCAGCCAATCAAATAAATTGGAATTGTTGTTTGTAGTATAAACTACAAATGATTATAGAGAATTCCAACCTAATGAAATATTCAGGGGAATTGAAAAGCTTTTCAAACTCACTTTTACTTGTAAATTGCTTAAGAGGTCTTTAAAAGTATTTTTTGTTTTCTATGCGTGGGGTTTTTCTTTTTAATGAAAATGTCTCTCGACTGCAAGTTTTGCTCACTCTTTAATTGTTGGTATTCTCCAAGGTTCTGTCATCTGCCAGAGGTGACGCTTCTATTTACTTCCTCCACCGGCTCTTAAACCTATGTGATTACCTCCAGATAATTGTCTTCAACGCCTCCTTCTCTTTGAGTTTCCTTATTTTTGGTTGCTTCCTAGACATTTCTATGCACTTCTCCCAGGATGTCTCCAACTCTCCACATACAAACATAATTCTCTCCCGTCTTTCCCTCACCCGTTACCTGCTTTTCTCTTAGTCTCAGTGAATGGCATTCCCATCACTGTCCAGCCAGTCATCGAAACCAGACCTCAGTCATCCCTGCCTCTCTCCCTCATCCCTCACTTTCACCATGGTGCCAGGCAATACTGGCTTTGCCTCCTGAATATCTTTATATAGCGCTTTTCTCCTCCCCGACTCCCACTGCAGCAGCTAGACCCTTGTCTCCCCCCAAGGCCATTGCACCGAGCCTTCTAACTGGTTCATAACCCCCCCTCATTGCCCCCCCCCCCCCCCCCCCCCCGGCTATCCAGTACCGTTGTCACAGCGGTGGTCCTAAAGCCCTCACATGTTTAGAAACTTTTAGCTCCCCAGTGTATATATATAACGTACAGCCTCCCTAGAGAGACAAACAAGACCCTTCACAATCTGGATACCCCTCTTTATTGAAAATTTCTCTTCAGTGTCATTTTTTTTTTAATTGGATTATAGTTAACACAATGTTACATTAGTTTTGGGTGTAAAACATAGTGATTTAACAAGTCTGTATTTTATGCTCACCACAGGTGTAGCTGCCATCTGTTCCCATACAACACTCTTCCAGTGCCACTGACTAGATTGCCTGTGCTGTCTTTTATCTCCACGACTTACTCATTCTGTAACTGGAAGCCTGTATCTCCCACCCCACTTCACTTTTTTGCCCATTCCCCCACTCCCCTCCCCTCTGGCAGCCACCAGTTTGTTCTCTGTATTTATGAGTCTCTTTCTTATAAATATGAGTCTGTTTCTGCTTTTTGTTTGTTTGTTCACCATACCCCATATCTGCTTTACCCATTCATTTGTTGATGGACACTTAGGCTGCTTGCATATCTTGGCTGTTATAAATAATGCTGCAATAAAGATAGGGGTGCATAAAGCTTTTTGATTAGTGTTTTTGTTTTCTTTAGGTAAATACCTATTAGTGGAATTACTGGATCATATGGTAGTTCTGCGTTTACTGTTTTGAGGAAACTCCATACAGTTTTCCACAGCGGCTGCACCAGCTTACATTCCCACCAACAATGGCGCAAGATCTAACCTCCGCTTCCCATGGTTCTCCTTGCGCGCTACACTCCCATCAGCACGAATCCGTCGTAGTTCTCTGCATACAGCGTGGCACTTCTCATTTCTCGTCCTGCTTTAGTGCATGCTTCCCTTTGCCTTAAATGTGGACCCTTCCCTTCCTGTTGAATGCAGCGTTCTTGACTTGCCACCTTCCATCCCCTCCCCCCCACAACAGAGAGCTAATCAGTTTTTCCTTTGTGCTATCAGAGTATTTTTATGTGCTTTCAGTGGTTTGAATTTCTTTGTCTACTTGTTAGGCTTTCCCCACCAGACTAACGTCCTAAAGAACAAGAGACTCAGGTCATTTTAGCATTTCTGGTGCCTAGCTAGTCCTTGGCATAGGGAGGCATTTAGAAAATATATGAAAAAAAAAAAAGAAAATATATGAAAAATTGTTCAGGAAATGGAGGACTTTTAGAGGGGGAAGCAGTATACTTAATGAAGGAATGAGTACTATCAAATATTTTTTTAAATGGCATGCAGGGTAAGGATTGGATTAACTTTGTGTGGCTTTAGATGGTACAGGTAATGTCAACAGAGAAGCAGACTTCTGGTTTAGCCACAGAGAAGGCAGTGAGGGTTAGAGAACAGCAGTACCATCCTGCCTTCATTTGGAATCTGTATTTAGACAATCTGAGTTTTAGTCCTGGCTTGGTCACTAGATTTGGTGGCTTCTGGGTCTAAGTTTCTTTGTTTTTTGACAGAAAAATGGAGATAATAGTAGCTTATATGGTGGTTTTGAGGACTAGTGAAATACCCTTTCGGGGTGCCTTGGCTAACATCTGGTGTTGAATAGTGCTTAATAAATGCTCATTGGATTTGAATTAGCCTCCTGTTCCTGGATTCTTCCAGTAATACCTTACACATATCTCATTGAATATAAGTAATGTGTGTACATAAACTGGCACCAAAAAAAAAAAATGTTCAATTGCCTTTTTTTCTCTTAAAGATTTATTCATTGTACTGATGATTCTCCAGATCCTTGTATAGAATATGAGGTAAGGATTTATTTTTTAAGTCTTGAAATTGATAATCCTAGATGAAGATGTGTTGGAAATTGCTATCTATTCTTAAGCAAAATGAATAAAACTTTTTGGATCAATTTCTCTGGGAACCTAGAGCCACTGAATTTTTAAATATGTAAAAAATATATGTATAAATGAATATATATACACGTATACACAGTATATACATACTATAGAATGTACGTATTTTGTAATAAAACAAATACCTTATACCCATCACCTGGCTTAAGCTGGGTAAGCTTTTTAACCTGGTATATGAAGAAAAATAATCATCCCCAATTTTACCATTTAGGCCCAGTGGACCTTTTTACTTTTTTTTGTTGTTGTTCACTCATTTTACAAATTACATCAGAAGTTAGATTGAAAGGATAGTGGAAAAGATTTTTAGAAATAGCAATAAGAATTCAAACATAGCAAACCCAAATTTGTATTCCATATTTTCCTAGTTTGAAGGTATATCTTCCCCCCACCCACCCGTATGCCTCCCTGAAATGGGTAGTGTAGTGTTCTTGGACTCAAGTAACTACTCATCAACTGTTATGAGTGAATTTGATTCCACGTTTCAGCTACATCCCTGATAGGACTCTTCCTTACCACTACTCCTGGTTCTTCTTGCACTTGGATCGTCAGAATGTAATACTTTTGAAAACTTTGACAGCTCATGATTTGTTGAAGAGAGTGGTCATCCTGCTCCATAATTGCAAACCATTTGCATTTTTGGATTTGTGACACCAATTAGAATTAGTCCAGTGGTCTTTTTTTAAAAAAAAATCCTTCATTTAAAAAAAAATTCATTGTTTGCTTCATCACCTTTGTATACACATGCTTTCAAAAGTTGCCCACTGACTCTCTATATTAAGAAATTTTTAGTGTGTTGAATGTATATTGGTATATCATCTGTGATTATACCATGTTTGTAGAACAGTTCATTTACTATTTACCAGGCCACCAAACTGGATCTTTTAGCACTTATAATTGAGCTTTTTACATACCAGTTGTGAAGGTTTTTTTGACTTAATAGCATAGCATGAGCATAGTCCCAATCATTAAACATTTTTATAACATTCTTTATATGTATATATTATATTCATATCTGTTGTTTCACTGAACAGACATCTGTTAAACACCTGCTGTGTCTTATCACTTAGTGCTGGAAAACACAAAATGATGAAGATTATTTCTCGAGTCTTGCCATAATCTTTGTTTGAGATGTCATCTTTTATCCCCAAGATTCATTTCACCAGCAGTTTGCTCTTTTGTTGCGTTTTTGGGACTATGCCATTATCATGTTAGTGCATAGGATTTTTAAAACTCAGTGTTTTAAAAGCTCAGGAAAGTGATATTCTTAGAATAATTAAAATGAAAAAAAGTTGCAAGCAGAATCCTGTATAGGGTCTATTCCTTCTTTGTGTATTTAAAAAGATGTATACATGTGCTCCATGCTCATTTATTTGTAGATTACTTCTGGAAAGCTATATGAATAATTGACAGCACTGGTTACCTCTGCAGAGGAGGACAGAGGGGCTGGTAGGGTCGGGGGGGGTATAATTCACGTTTTACCTTTATGTGTTTTTTCAGTCAACTACACAATGTATGCGTTACCTGTCCAAAATATTATTTCAGTAAAGATTATGCAGATTTTCCAAAAAATTAATGTTAGTTTATAACAATTACTTATTTCTTTGTTGCTTAAATAAAAATTATTGTAGCCCTAAAAAACTATATTTGCCAGTATCAGCTTTTAATAGATGACAACTGTGTACATTTTTAGTTTTTTAGTTCTTCATTTAATAATTAGCTTCTTTTTAAAAAATACAGCACATAGAAATCTTGACTAAGAGCTTACAAAATTGAAAATTGAAATCAGTGCATTTTAAAATCTTAGGCATATTTTAACAGTATAAGTTTGTTTTTTTTTTAAGAAAAGCAATTTATTATCAAAAATTAAGAAGTATAAGAAAATATGAGGAACTTACCGCCCACATATACCCTCAGTATTAGCATTTTGGCATTTAACTTCCCTTTCCTGAGATAAGTGTGTATGTATGTGTATATATACACTCTCTTCATAAAATACCGTGCATACCATTGTTTTTCACTTACAGTGTATTTTTCCAGTTCATTAACTATTTTTTTATATCAGGGTTTTTAGTGGCTGTGTATCTTATATATTGACAGTTTCGTTTTGTAACATTTTTTAAGCACCTGCTAGGTATTACCTACTTGTGCTGGGAACATAAAGATAAGTAAGACCCAGTTCCTTGCCCTTGCTGAGTTGCTAGTTAGGAGGGAAGAGAGACTTGTATCAAATTATAGTACAACTTGGTATGTATGTGCATACTATAGAATGCTAGGTGCAAGAAACTGGGAGCACATGGTATGGGAAGGGAGGATACTGAGCCCACCGGAGGTTATTCCAGGAATGGGGCTTAGTGTAATTTAAGTTCCATCTCTTAGGTCTTAAAGGGCAAAGAAGTATATGCCAGCATAAGGGTGGCCGGAGGCACTGGCCACTTATTACAATTAATACTTCACAAAAGTAGGACTAGTTTTCTTCAAAGAACATTTTAAAAACAGACTCAGAAGCATAAATTTGTCAACTATAGTATTTATAAAATTGTAGCAATTCAGTAGTATATAAGAATTTGTACATAATAATTAATTATAGTAGTAGAACCCATTTATGACTTGGGCCAGTTGTAGAATTGTTTTCCTTTTAAGTAGTGGCAAAATCATGGGAGGGTTATAGTGATTTTTAGTGATAAATTATAATAATTTTATTAGAGTATTACACAGTGGTGCTAAGGTAGATAATTACAATATCCTTTTATTTTTTAATATACCTAAAGGGGTGAAGAACATAAATAATTATGGGGCAACTATACACAGTGATGATGGGATTCGACTTCATCATCCTTGGATTTGTATATTATGTCAGAACTCTCAATGTGATAAATAAATGACAAAGGTGCATTTTGTCATAACGAATTTTAACAGCGTTTCCCCCACTTACTAGATTAATAAATCTGTCCCCTACATCGCATGATAAGAATGGTTTATGATGCCTTTTCTTCCAAACTATTTGATATTGGCAATTATTAAAATATACTCTTGGCATAAAATTGTCTTTTAGACCAGTAAACATTCCCTTGTTACATTTTTCCTCTTTCTACAGCTTGTTCTTCGAAAATGGTGTGAATTAATTCCTGGGGCTGAGTTCCGATGTTTTGTAAAGGAAAACAAGCTTATTGGTGAGTTTTTTTACCCATTAAAAGAAGACAAGATTTTTTTTCTTTTTAAGTTTATTTATTTTACTTTTTTTTTTTTTAAGTAAACTCTACACCACACATGGGGCTGGAACTCACAACCCTGAGATCAAGAGTCATGTGCTACACCCACGGAGCCAGCTGGGCATCTCTAAAGTTTATTTATTTTTAGGAATTTCTGCACCCAGCGTAGGGCTCAAACTCATGACCCTGAGATCAAGAGTTGCATGCTCCTCCAACTGAGCCAGCCAGGTGCCCCAAGAAGAGAAGCTTTTGATGGAAGTGAATTTCTAGTAATTAGGTAATTAGGAGAGGGTACTAATCAGTTTTTATCTCAGATGCTACCTCTGGCCAATTGGTAGTGACTCTCTGGAATTCTATATTGATAATGCTCCTGAGGCCATATTCAATTTCCACAGAAAAGTATCTTGTGCATTAATCATGTCTGTCTGGATTCTGGAGATGAAAGTGATGGTCTTGGCTATTCCCAGTTTTGGCTATGTATCATGTTACCTGCTTTCTCTTTGGGACTTTCCTACAAATTATTAGCAACACACACTACTTATTTTAAGCATCATAAAAAGCCAAGTTTTGGGATTTTTATTTCTATTATTGGAACAGTGTTTATTATTCTAACAAGAGGAGGAAATATGTGGACAGATAAGTGCATTATTTAAAAAGCCACCCGTTTTCTTCCTCTCAGATTATTATTTTGTTTGCTGTAATGTACTCGAGTTAAGTATTGAAGATTGTCTGCTTTTTTTTTGTCTTTGCATGTTTTCCATGCAGTAACCAAGAAAAGTGTGATTTGAATAGAATCCTATCAGCACTATTTAAAAAAAATTTTTTTAATTTATTATTTAAAAAAAGTTTTATTTTTTTTTATTATTTTTTTTTTTTAGAGAGGGAAAGAGAGAGAATGTTAAGCAGGCTCCACGCCCAGCGTGGAGCCGGATGCACAGCTCAACCTTACATCCCTGAGATCATGACCTGAGCTGAAACCAAGAGTCGGACGCTTAACCGACTGAGCCACCCAGGTGCCCCACATCAGCACTATTTAGTGAATGTGATGTTGACATCTGTTAACTTACCTAAAAGAAACTTGGGATGTTTGAGTTTATCGTATTGCTAAATATTCCTGGAGAAACTGCAATACAAGTAGAGCTAAGGAAGGGAGTCATATTGGCATTGATTAAGAAATAGGGTGGAAGCCCTTCTTTCAGAGCGGAAAACTTTCCTAGGCCTAGAGCAAATTGAGGAAGTTTTTACAATAATCCCTTTAGTGTATTTGTAATAAAATCATCAAGTCACTGTGAAGAAAGGAATGTTTACTTTTCCATGGCTTGAAACATCAGGCTTGTGAAGGCAGGGTAGTATGTGTGAACAGGAAAAATAGCCTATTTCTATGAAATACAATATGAATAGGAAGACATGTGGAATATTTGAAGTTTCCCAAAGAAAAGTGGAAAAGAATACCAATTTGTAGAAAATTTGTTGGAAAAAAATCAGAGAAGAGGCAATTGACTGTATGCAGGTTTAAAATTGCTTCTTTCATTTTTTACATTATAAACGTATTTATGACTGAGTTCTTTCTAAAGTAAGAATGCATGACAATATGGAACTTAGGATATATCTATCCATATGATTGGATAACTTTTTACAGCTGATAAGTTTTTTATCTCTATAAAATGCTGAATCATGTATTATGCAATATTCATCTGATTGGTCTTCTGATCTACTTTAATGATTCTCTCAAAAAGATGTTTAAATTACATTTTGGTGTTTTTGAAAAGAATGTTATATAACAATGGATATAAAATATTTTCTTGTCAGGTATTTCTCAAAGGGACTATACACAGTACTATGATCATATTTCTAAACAAAAGGAAGAGATTTGCAGATGCATACAAGACTTTTTTAAGAAACACATACAGTACAAATTCTTGGATGAAGACTGTGAGTATTTTTTATTGACCCAGTGAAATGAAGTACATATTACTGAACCTTATTTCATGGTGGTGCAGATTTTTTTTTAAAAGAATTTATTTATTTGAGAGAGAGAGAGTGCCGGCGAGGGGAGGGGCAGAGGGAGAAACAGACTCCCCACTGAGCAGGGAGCCCGACGTGGGGCTCGATACCAGGACCCTGAGATCATGACCTGAGCCAAAGGTAGATGTTTAACCGACTGAGCTACCCACGCAGATTTAAAACTGGATTCGAAACACTGTTTTTAAGCATTTTGCTGTATTACTATTTGGTATTACTGATGGTTGGCATGTTAATTTTACCTTATTTTAATCATTTTTTAATACTGAGGCAGTTATTTCTCTTATCATTTTAGATATTCATTTCAAAGGGTCTATCTACAGAGAACAAAATGCTTGTGTTATTCAGACTAAATTAGCTCAGTTGACTGATCTACTTTTCTGGATTTTTTATTTGAATGATCAGATAGTACCAGTTACAAGGTAAACATTTTGCGACTTGTTTTTAAGAAAGTATATTGTATATGAAAGAGAGTTGATTTCTACTTGCCAAACCTGGGTTCTATGGCAGATTTGATTTTAAAAAAGATTAATCATGCCATAACCACAGCTAGATTTTATGCTTTCCTACTACAGATTTTACTGAAATCGATTATTCCTCATCAAATGAGTTAAGTGATTGATGTTTTTTTCACTAGTACATATAATTTGTATATAGTGGTGAATTCATTGAGATGATGTGTTTGGTTTGAAGTTTTAAATACAATTGACCTTTGAACAGCCCATGTTTGAACTGCATGAATCCACTTATATGTGGTTTTTTTTCCTGATACATGCAGTATAGGACTGTAAATATATTTTCCTTATGACTTTACTAATATTTTCTTTTTTCTACTTTTATTGTAAGAATACAGTATATAATACACAAAATATGTGTTAATTGACTGTTAATGTTATTGGTAGGGATTTGGGTCAACAGTAGGTTGTTAGTAGTTAAGTTTCAGGGAAGTCAAAACTTAAACATGGATTTTCCAACTCTGCAGGGAAGTCAGCATCCCTAACCCCTGCATTGGTTAAGGATCAACTGTATAAAGGATTATGGCTGAGGGTAGAAAAAAGGAAAACAAAATCATATACATAAAATATTGTAGGCTACCTTATCATTTTTAAAAATTTTGAGATTTAGAAGCATGACGTTCTCAAGGTACTTACATTCTGCTATTTGAGTAACTAATAATATTAATTTTAATTTTCAAAAGGAGGCTTAGATCATGAAAATAGTAGCTCATTGTTAACTTTGAGTTTTTTCTCCTTCACAGTTGTGTTCGATATATATAGAGACAGTAGGGTAAGTAACAATTATCTGATATGTTTTAAAATCAGGGCTTATAGAGTATATAGCCATTATGTGTGTGAGGGCCCACTGCTTAAAAAGTACTTTCTCAAACCAGCTAAGGTGATTGAAAGTCACAGTGGTCAAGAATCTCCCTTAACATATACTTAACATTGGGAGACATATCTTCAATCGTTTTGTAGATTGGGGTTTATTAATTTAACAGATGGCTAAATGGCTACTTTATGTCCTGCCTTTCCACTTTTGTCAGGGGTCTGTGCCTGCTTAAAATAGTTTAGTTTGCACACTTAAGTGTGGCCAGGAGTTTGTCTTTTGATATTTAGATAATTAGTTTTAGTCAACTAAAAGATCTTTAGCACAATTGGAATCACTTTTATCTATAGACTGAAGATGAGGATTCGCTTATTCTTTAAATCTTACAAGTGATGGAAACTTGTGTAATGAAAAAGAGAACAAAAACCTGACTTCATTAATCCTAAAGCAGAGTTTTCATTATCAAGACGTGCAATCTTTTAAAAAAAATTTGGGTCACTAAATGTCCTGTGATTAGTGCTTCTTGACTTAGCTGTTGAGAAGACAGCAGGTGTGTTTTCAGAATATGTGACACTGTTTTCCAAATGTGACCCACGTATTTCTCGTTCCCTCTCCAAGCTCATATCAGCCTCACTGTTGTGATACCTTTGAATCATTTTTTGGACGAAAGGATATGGCCATATGGTCATGTCCCCAGATAACTGTTAACTGTTGACTTGCCTCTTTTTAGCCAAAAGACAACACTTACTCTGTTTTCACCTCTGTGTCTTCAAGGGTGAGAGTGTCTATTAAGAGCTAGAAAGAGGAGTTATAAATTGAGATGTGGTAAGGAAGAGGGATGTTACTTTGCACTTTCAGTCTAGTGGAAACAAACCTTAGAGAAAGGATGGGAAGCTGGTGTGATGGAATGGGTAGAAACCGGAGCTGATCGACAGGAGCCTAGGCTCTAGGCTCCGCTCTGCTTCTAACTGGTAGACACTGGCCACATCAGTCACTCACACAGCCAGCATTTATAGGGAGCCCGTCCTGTCAGACGCCATGCTTCTACCAAAAAACTTTCAACAAGATGGTCTCCTGACCTACAAGGAGCTTATCTTCGAGACTTAAACATTCCAGGGAATTGGCCTGGTTGTAAGTGGAATCAAATCAGCCAATTAGTGAGTGAGTAAACCTAGCTTGTTACCCTAATATGCAGCTCAGAAGAACTTTATTTGTATTTAACTCAGGTTATCTATCTAACCTTGTGAGGTATGTGTTACTCTCATTTTATAGATATTAAAACTGAAGCAGTTATATTTTAATGCAATTATATTTAATGGCATTTAAAAATTTGGAATTTGCCAAGGTCTCTCAATATTTCCCTGAAAAATGTCCAGATCTGCTTTGATTCACTATTGCTGGCAGGTCAGTGCAAATGTGTAGTTTGGTGAAAGAGTTACATAAATGCCTTAAGTGAAGTTGGACATGTACAGAAGTAATTACTGCTATGATCTAACAGAACTGAAAGTAGTTGCATGTTTTTAAAGTGAGAAACATGCCAGTATAAGCATGCTGACAGTTTCTGAGAAGCGATTTAAACCATGATGTAAAACACATTGTATTTACTTGGTGGCACTTGTATCAGTGTTTGTTAGGTACTTTGTTGAATATATGGTTTTATGACTATTGTAGAAAATGAACTCTTATGGTGGTCTCTCATATGCAATGGAACTGAAGTATGTTTGAATTTGGATATATTTTGATGTGTCTACTTCTCTTACTGCAGCTGGGCAAGTTGACTCAGTGTTGAGAGATTCTAGCTATCACATGTGTCAAAGACGGCCCATACACTCAGTAGGTCTGGGAGGAAGCCTTGGTATATGTATTTTAAGGAGCTCCTTAAGTGAAGACAACACATAACTAGAATTTAGAATAACTATTTAAGAGACTTGAAAATTATTAGTCTCCTTATGTATTCTTTTAGTGATGGCTATTGTTGTGTTACTAATTTCATTGCTCTAAGGACTAAACATGTCTGATCTTGAGTCTTTGATATTGTTGAGATTGGCTTTGTAACTTGGCCACTTTTTTGTCACTCTTCTATGTGTGTTTGAAAAATTACAACTAATGTGTGAAGTATTCTGTAGATGTTTGTTAGATTAACCTTGGTAATAATAATTGTGAAAATCTTTTTGTATCTTATGAATGAAATGATGTCTGAGAAGACCTTCAAAATAATACAGGTTTGAAAGGAATGGATGGAATATAGATGTAATAAGATTGACTATGGGGTTCAACAAGATAATTGTTGAAACTGAGTGATAGGTATTTGGGGTTCTTTATATTTTGTCTACTTTGTATATGTTTAAACTTTTCCATATAAAAAATTTTTTTAACTCTAAAAACCAGAAAAAAAATCTGTATCTTCCCTAATTTTTGGTCTACTTAATTTATCAATTATTGAACAGGGTATGTTGAAATGTAAAATCTCCTCCTTTTGAATTCTGTCAGTTTTTGTGTTACATACTTGAGGTTGTGGTCTTAGACAAGAACATATGTTCATAATGGTTTTGTTTTCCCAGTGAATTCTTATCACTAGGGAGTGACCATCTCTATCTCTAAGAATGCTTTTGTGGTTTTTGCATTAAAGTATGTTTTGTCTGATATTAATAGTGTTACTACAGTTTTCTTTTGGTTTTAGAATTTACCTTTTTCATTCCTTTTGTTTTTAACTGTTAGGTTTTAGGTGTGTGCATGTATCTTGTAAGTGGCATATTGCTGGGTTTTGTTTTTTTAATCACTGACAATTTCTGGTTTTAACAGTGAGTGTAGTTTGCATATATTATTGTATTTGATATCTGAATGTTTTACACCTTTTTTTTTTAAGACTTTTAAAAAATTTATTCATTTGAGAGAGAGACAGAGACAGAGGGAGCACAATCAGGGGGAGAGGCAGAGGGAGAGGGAGAAGCAGACTCCCCGCCGAGCTGGGAGCCTGACATGGGGCTCAGTCCCAGGACCTGGAGATCATAACCCTAGCTGAAGGCAGATGCCCAACCAGCTCAGCCACCCAGGGGCCCCTGTTTTACACCATATTATCTTGAGTTTACAATTTGCTTTTCTATGTTTTTGTTTTCTCCTTTCATTTATATTACTGGTTTTTCTTTACTCTTTCCACTCTACCCTTCCCCCCCCACTTAAATCTTTTATCATTAAATCTTAATGTGGCTACTTAATAAATTCAAAAGTTAATCTCACTTCCTGTTGCCCTCATGATACAAGGACCTTAGAACAAATTCTCAGTGCATGTGATTTCTGATTTTTAGTTTACTTTGTATTTAATATCCCTAAATTAGTCATGACTGTTGATTTTCACTTTCTTTGCTTACCAGTGCTTCTTACCACTGCTTTTTTGATCCAGTTTCTCTTTAGTAGTATATCCTTTAGTAGAAATTCCCTCAGCCATTGGCTGGAAAATTTGTTTAGTAGCTTTCATGTACGGATGACAGGCTTAGCTGGGTATAGAATTTTTGGTTGACCAGTTCTGTTGTCTCAGCATATTGAAGACACTGCTCCTTTGTTGGCGGGTTTTTTTTTCCTTTTCTTTTGTCTTTTTTGAATACTTCCTAAATCTAAGAATTCGTTTCCTTTGTCAGTTGTGAAGAACTCTCAGCTATCTTTTCAAATGTTACCTCTTTCTTTCTGTCTTCTGTCCTTTGGAAATCTGTTTAGAAGAATGTTAGCACATCTCATTTTATCTTCATGTGTCTCAACTTCTTGTTTTCCACCTCCTTTCTTTCCTGTACTGTGTTGTGTAATTTTCTCAGATATGTCTTCTGGTTCACTAGTTCTCTTTCAGCGGTGTCCGATTGGATACATTTAACCTTTCACTAAATTTAAGTTGTATTAGCTATATTTTTTTATATCTGTAGGTTCCATTTGGTAATTTCAGTTCTTTGTATTCTTTTTTTCATAGTATCTTATGTTTTAGAGTTTTCATTTATTTTCAATCATTTTTTAAAAAAATTTATTTTAGAGGCAGTGTGCACACACACAAGTAGGGGGGAAGGGCAGGAGGAGAGGGAGAACAAGAACCCCAAGTAGACTTCCCGCTGAGCGCAGAGCCAGATGTGGGGCCCGATCCCATGACCCTGAGATCATGACATGAGCTGAAATCAAGTGCCAGACACCCAACTGACTGAGCCACCCAGGTGTCCCTATATTTTCAGTCATTTAAAACTACTAAATTTTTTTGGTCAGAGTTTTTGAGAAATCATTTACACAGAGTAAAATTAATCCTTTTTTGGGTACAGTTCTATGAGTTTTGACAAACCCATCCAATTGTATAACCACTACTACAAGGAACATGTAGAACTCCATCACTGCCACAAATTTCCTCATGACCCTCCCTGCACTCTAGTCCCTGGCAAACACTGCTCTGTAAAACCTACTGAGTTTTAAACTTTTTAGTTGAGAATATATTCACATTGCTCAAAAATTAAATGAACATGAAAATACATGTAGAAAGTCTTGCTCTTAACCTGTGTTCCTCTATACTCCTACAGGTATACTTTTAGTAGTTTTTTATATATCCTTCCAGTATTTCTTGACGCAAAAACAAGCAATATGCTTGTCTTTTTCCATCTTTCATACACAAGAGTTAGTATATGATATATACTCTGCACTTTGCTTTATATACATTTGTCTAAAACATTGTATTTTTGGAGAGCTTTCTAGTTTCGTACAATGCTATAGTATTTAGTTTTGTGGATATACTATATAGTTTGTTTAGCCATTTTCCTATCAATGCACATAGCTTATTTCTAGTCTTTTACAGACTGTGCTGTGAACAGTTCTGTATACATGGCAGTGTGTGTGTGTGTGTGTGTGTGTGTGTGTGTGTATTCTGGCCTGAGCTCTTTGAAGGAATAGATTTTGTGTTACTGGGCTTTATGCTTCAATGCCTGGTAAGTGTTTGGTGCACAGAGATTTCTTTGGACAGGTAGTGGGGTGGTTAGTTGTTAGGTATTAGGAAGGTCACTGTGCCCACTCTTCTCTGATGGATGGCCTAAAAACAGAATTTCTCAGGATGTCTTGTGCCTGAGATGTTACATAAAAAACATGTTAGAGGTATAAAATCCTCATCTTGATAGTTTCCTGCCTGATTATAGCTGGTTTCTTTTTCCTTTGTAAACTAGAGGATGCCTTCTGAACTACAGAACAAACTCTGCCAGCTATCAGTCCCAACAGTGGTGATCTGTTTTTGTTTTGCTTGTTTTTTATATAGTATGGCATATTTTTAGTTTATAGAACTCAGTATTCCTCTACTAACAAGTGTGATAGGGTTTCCCTCCCCCCTTTTAATAAAGAGGTGGTTTTATTGGTTATAAAAACTCAAGTAGAAAGGGTTTGGAGGTTAGAAAATACCATTTTGTTAAAGTAACATACAATATGTTAATGACATCTTAGTAATCACCCTAAAGCAAAGCTAACGTCACACAAAGAATTGATTAATGGCTGACATTATTTCACACAAACACTGTACAAGTGGTTGTGGAATCTGTGTCAGAAAACAGCTCAGGTGGCAAGAGTTACAGGCTTTCTCCTGGAGTGGGGGTAGTATATAATAGGCAACTTACCAAAAAAATATGTGGTCCAAACTTCCTATAATGGTTTTTGGCTACTTACTAGATGTTTCTGATGTTTGAAGTTAGTCCTAGTAAGATGTTTCATCTTTCTTAAAATTGTCTTTTAACCCAGATGAGAAGCAGTGCTAGAGATTAATAATGCTGGCTCAGCGGCCTAGTTCCTTAGGTGGATGTAATTTTATACACTGAAATCTGATCAAGACATTACATATTTACCCAAAAAACTAATTATCAACAGCAAAATGGTATAATTTTATGAATGTTTCAGGGAGAAAAATCAAGAGGAGCAAAGATAAAAGTTTCAAGGAAACATTTACTAAATGTCTCATGTATCTTTGTGATCAAATATGGCTTTAATCTCTTGGCAGGATTTCACAGATTCCCCAGGTCTGTTGTATCAGTGCTCTGCTGCTTTATGTACTAAGATGCACCTGATTCTAATCAAACTCAGTATAACTAGGTCAGAAGTATTCTTTCCCTGAGTCTAGAACCTATCAGATTGCCCACCAGTACTCAGAACAGAAGATAGAAATTTCTTTTAAAGGTTGATATTTTTCATTTCCCTTTCAAGTGCCACAAGCTCTATCATACAGACAAAGCAAATATTACATTAGGATTAAAGAAAACTGAGAATTTTCCTATGTTTTTCCTGTGTCTGTGTGTGTGTGTGTGTGTGTGTGTGTGTTTTAAGCCCCCTTTTCATCAGCCTCTCAAGGGTAAGGAAGGTGCCCTCAGATCTGCTGGCTCTTCCCTGCCTCCACCTGGCTTCCCCAGGCGAGATAATTGCAGACACCCTTGAAAGCATTCCAGTCATGCTATTTTGGTGGAATCATTCCCGTGAGATTGTCCTTTCTCCTGCTTGGATTTTTGACTTAGAATTCTTGTGTGATTTTAGGCAGGAGATGGCATATCTGCCTTTGTCAGGGCTTTTCTTTCCTAGGTCCCTTCTCGGCATTCACTGGCAGACTTCCCTCTGGATCTGGCACTCCTTTCTTTAGACAAGTGATCCTTTCTCACCTGGGACCTGGAGGAACTGTTTTCTGAAATAAATTACAAGATTTTTCAGATTACTGTCTGGGTAAAATAATATGAAGATGATCTTTTTGGGTAAGACAGATGACAGACTTGTTTGTTTTTATTCCGTGCTTACTAATTTTTCTGTCTGTACTCTAGGGGAAGGTGTGGCTGATTGATTTTAATCCGTTTGGTGAAGTAACTGATTCACTGCTGTTTACTTGGGAAGAACTGATATCTGGAAGAAACTTAAAAGGTGATTTTAGTGAAGGAGATGCTCTGGAGCAGGTAAGAGGATAAAAAAGGATTACAGGAAACCTTGTAATCCATTAAATAATTGCTCGCTTGTTCTTTAGGAACTAACACAGATTTACTAATAGATAACTAGCTCATGAAGGTGACCAAAGAGAGTGTGTGCATTGTGATTCACCTGGAAGAATCTTCTTTTTTTTTAAGATTTTATTTATTTATTTATTTGTCAGAGAGAGCACAAGCCGGGGGAGTGGCAGGCAAAGGGAGAGGGAGAAGCAGGCTCGCCGCTGAGCAGGCAGCCCGATGTGGGGCTCGATCCCAGGACCCATGACCTGAGCTGAAGGCAGTCACTGAACCTACTGAGGCACCCAGGCGCCCTCACCTGGAAGAATCTTGACCCTGGGTCAGTTCATATGTTGACTCTGATCCTAGCCCCAGGCTCCTGACCCCTGAGAGAGGAAGACTGTACGGGTGCCCAGCCTGGGGTCTCATCATAGTCCTAGTCCTAGTCATGACCCCATCAGGGGGGCCCTACTGCAGCGCTTGCCTCACCAGCTTTCTCTTCCACCCACAGTGGCCTTCCACGCCTCTGTGTACCGCCTCACAGCTCCTTGCCTGTTACCCCTCTCCTCCCCTCAGCAGATGATGCCACATCCTTCTTCACAAGAAGAGAATCCTCTGGTGCGAAATGACTTCGTGTAATTGTCCTCAAACCTATGAGTGTCCCTCTGTCCCTCCTCCTCGGTCTAACAGTGGCACCCACTCAGCTTGCTGTTCCTTACCGTCTCTCTTGTTACCTGTGCTGCCAGCCACTCCTTCCTGTTTCCCATTCTCTTCTTGTCCACCGGCCGGGTCTGTGTTCACATACCTTCTGTCCGAAGAGACAAAGCTCCTTCAACCTCATGTCTTCAGCCAGCAACTCTGTCTCCTCACCTTCACAGCCCAACTTTGAACAACACCTTTGTGTTGCCCTTTTCTGCTTATAAAAGTAATACATGCCCATTTTTAAAGAGCATTCTGAATTACCTGCAGTCCTCCCACTTTGAGAACCACGGTTTATATTTTCTAAACCGTACGTGGTGTACATTCTGGTATGTATAACATGCCTGTATACATATAAAATAAATGAGATTGTACTACATATGTGTTATCTTTGTGTTTTTTATATCTTTAAAAAAATACTTTTATTTTTACAAGTCATTTAAAAAAAACAAAATTAGGAAGAGGCAAGACCTGAAATCCTACCATCTGGAAATTGCAGTCCTTACCCCTTCAGTTAACCTTGTGCAGACGTGCGTATACACACATACTTTTACACCCATGGGGTCATACCAGCTGCACTCACGCTGTTTTGTCCCTGCTCAGTAGCTGTTCAGCCTCACAGCCGGCTTCCTCCTCCGGCCACCCCTCCGCCCGCCGTGGTGAGCCTCCGGCTCTGCCGCTGCACAGAAACCGCTCTTGGCAATGGCTCTGCCGGCTCGCCGCGAGCACCACTGGACGAGGCACGGTGACATTTGAACGTGTTACCCTCTTCCGTGTTTTCACCACACATCTTCCCTTGGTTTCCGTGATACACGCTCTCCTCCTGGGTTTCTTCCTGCTTTTCTGGCTGCTCCCTTGCTTTCAGTGTGAGCATCTTTTCTTTTGTCTTATCTCAGAAATAGTTCTTTCCATCATTACGCTGCCTGGGCCCTCTTTGGCCCTGTTTTCCTAGATCTGGCTCAGATGGCTGTTTTCCGTGTCATGGCTCTTGCCCTGTTGTGTTGTACTCGCCTGTGTCCTGCCCCAGACTAAGTTTCTGAGCACAGGGGGAGTACCTCTCATGTTCTCCACAGAGCTGTGTGGCTTAGCACAAGGCAGGCACGGTTGGTTTTTCGTGAAATTAATGACTGAAAGAATTTTTTGTGTGTGCTGGCATCTTAGACTTGGGGGCCATTAAATCTGAATGTCAAGGAAAGAGAATGTAAATTATTCAGCACAGGGTTATTTTTAAATACGAGGGACACAGTGGATAGAAACAGTTTGTACAAAATTCACTCTATGATCCAAATGCTTTCTTTCTTTTTAATTTAAACAACATTATATTGGAGGTCAGGGGATGACAGGGAAACAGGGGCAGGCTCCTGCCTTTTCCACAGAGTCATGTCCTGCTGGTCTCCCCATCCTTATTCCCCTCCACAGACACCTGGCTTCTGGTTCTCACAGCTACAAAGCCCCACCTCAGGATCTTTGCTCTGGTTGTGCCCACTGCCTTCTAAGCTGTGCCCAGTCCCTATCTGAGTTCCCCGGCCTCACGGGGCTGCTTTCATCATACTTTTCAGTCCACATGTTCCCTCCTCAGCAAAGTGTTACCTGACCACCCCTGTGAAGTGACCTGTGTTTTTCTGCTCTTACTATAGCACCCTGTTATGTTTTTATAACACCTCTTAACTATCTGAAATGATCTTGCCGTTGTATTTATTTGCTTACTTATTGGCTCTCTGCCAGTCTGGTTTACCAGTTGATCTCCTATACCTAGGACAAGTTCAGCGCAAAATGGGTACTTCCTAAGTATTTGTCAGATGAGTGGTCTGTCATAAGATACGGCCTGCTTTCTAGGGCTCTACGGTCCTGTTCCACTCAAGTTCCTGGCCTGTCTCCATCTGCTGGACACCATCCATCCCTCACCTAGATACCTGCCACCCGTGAAGTCCAAACCCAAGGCCTTCCGTCTCTGAAATCCTTTTTGGCACAAGGCAGCATGTAAATTTAAATGCAAGACTCTAAGCAAGTACATTGAAGAATGTGAAGACTTGTTAAATATGATACTCAAATTTGCAGTTTTCCATAGGTGCTGAGAGAGATACACAAATACGTAAGTTACATGACTAAGAGAAGCACAAAAGTGTTAGGAATTCAAAGCCCCTTGCTTGCCCTCACTATCAACTTTATTCTCCAGGGCAGTACTTCCCAACTATGCACCTGTAGAAAATGATAATATTGATAAAGCACTCTGACCTGCATGAGATTGCTCAAGGCCAGAGAGAACTAGCCGTAGGCCTCAGGCCCATTCAAGGACTAAGGAACCTATGACCCATTTGCAGTGAATAGTGGCTGGTAGCATTTAGGGATTGACCATAGCTCTCCATGAGAACATTGTTTCCAGATACTGTATATTTATTTTTTAGTGAACATGTGGAAATATTCTTAAAATCTTGGTGTTTCTTTTACTTCAGAATCTTTCTTCCTTACATAGTACAGAAGGGAACATGAAGTTGAAATTGTTATACTAGTATCTTTTTCACTTTGAAGAATAGACTTAAGATAATTTCTCACAGACTTTCCCCTTTTTTCTTTGTAAAGGATTCTCCAGCTTTCCGTTGCACAAACAGTGAAGTGACAGTTCAACCCAGTCCCTATCTGAGTTACCGACTTCCCAAGGACTTTGTAGACCTGTCTACTGGGGAGGATGCTCACAAACTCATAGATTTTCTTAAACTGGTAAAGTATATGTGTACTTAGTACACATATGTGTACACCTTTGTTTTCAAATTGACTTTGTAATATTTCATTGTACTCATAGTACTACCTAGATTTTATTTGGTTAGGTCATTTTATAATGAAATAATATAAAGTAAGCCGAAGGAATAATTTATTGCTTAGAATGACAGAAAATGTGTTTTATGATTATGCTTTTTAAATAATTTTCACAATACTTGTGCTTTTGAAGAAAGTCTATATACTGTTAATAGAGCTAAGAGAAGGTCCAGCTCTCTGCTGTATTATTCAGGGGGAATGTGTGTATTTGTACTCGTATGTGTGTTTCTATGTGGGAATGTTTGTACAAATGGAAGAAAGAGAAGTATTCAAATACTTGAGGATAATGTGGCCAGGAGCCAAAGTGATAAACTTGTCTGATGAATTAGTTAAGGCATGTTTTTCCATGATGATTTTCAGCCATATCTGTTGCCAAGAAAATTATACTTGCTGACAGAAAAAGTGATCTTGGCTGAACAAATACCCCAAATATACAAATAATGTATCTTGGTTTACTTTGACAGAAAAGAAATCAGCAAGAGGATGACTGATTTGAGTGCCAGAGTTAAGTCCGAGGTAAAGAGGAAACCACCTTGGCATCAGGAGCCTGCTCTGAGCTCACAACTTCCTGTTACCCCACTCAGGTTGGGATGGGAGGCAGAGTGAAATCAATAGCTTTTTATATCCCTGTATATTAAGCTGAGAAAAAATGGAGGGACTTTGCTACTTGTAAAAATAAATAATAAATAGATCTTAAATATAGGAAACCATACTGTTCTGATGATAAAATACCTTCTCTGAAATACCTCACTCTTGGCTCAGTCTTTTGAGATTTATCTGTGTTTTCTTGTGCTATTTATCTATGTTTCTTGTGCTACCTGTTAGGTAGTGGGCAAATTTATATTTGTTATACAGAAATGGGTTCTTTTTTAATCATTACTTTTTCATGGAAAAAATAGAACCTTCTATTACTATAGAAAATATTTTTCCTACTTTTGAGAAGATTTTCATATAATTTTTCTATTGGTTTATCTTTGGTTTGCATATAGCTAAAAATAATACAGAATTCTCAAGCTATCAAATAACCAGAAAATGCCAGTGTATTATAGTTAGCTTAATATGCCGAGACACTCTCCTATGTGCTTTTTGTTTATTGTTTTACATCCTGGAAAAATTTTAAAGAAATTGACATTACAGTTTCCCAGGGCATCTATCTAATGTGGTATCAGTATTTTAATAGTTGGAGATATGTTTTTCAACTTAGGAGTGCACATTTGAATGTTCGCATTGGAAGATAGAAAAATGGAGTAGAATTTCCCCTTTCTGTGTGGTTATGGCAGATTATACATAATTATGAGAGATATTTCTTTTTTGGTTATCTCAAACTCCGTATCTTTTTGTGTGGTTATAATCACTTGGTTATTAGTATTTTAAAAACAAAATACACAGATCAAATTGTGATCTTTGTACTCAGTATATCATGTGCCATTTTTGAGGCCAGTTGTTAGAAGTTGAAGTGCTTCAGAATATTTTTGTTTTTTAAACTGCAATTGAGGGACTTGACTGTTAACTCATAATAGGGGGATTTATTATCGTGAGTTGACTTAACCTTAGCTTTGGAAGCTGGCTTCATCAAGGTGGTACTTCACCAGTCCAAAAAAACAAAAAGGTATTTAATACCAACTGAAAAAAATTGGACTATAAATAATAAAAAGACTTAAGCAAAATTTGGCAAATATTTTATAAAAAGTACAATTCTTGGTATAAAACTCGTTAAATTTTTGCATTAATTTTCCTGGGGCATTATTGAGTTCAACTCTCACTTTTAAAAATGTGATTTTTATACATTATTTCCCTAGTATATTTAATTTTTGTTATCTTGATGTTAATAGTAAATATAGGACAATGTGCAGGAAATATTCTCCTACATTCAAATATCATTTATGCTTGGCTGAAGATTAGTTTTGAATTATCCTTTTATTTTACTGGCATTATCTGTTTTTTTTTTTTTTTTTGCGGTACTTCATGTTTGTATTTGAATTTAGAAAGGGAATCTGTTAGCTTCGTCCTGAAATCCTACCTTTTGAAGTCGGTTTAGTCAAGTTGGGACAGACATGTTTACTTTGTCCTGCAGAACAGTGGCATGTAGCATGGGCCTCCAATACAGCAGACTGCCAAAAAGTTCTGTTTTTAAGTCTCATTTTGATGTGTATTTTCATAAACTTTTCCCATCTACAGAGTCATTTCTCTTCGGGTAATTGAGGATTGTTTCTGCTGTTAAAAAACAAACAGAAATGTTACATGACTGAGTTTTTTGGCTTAAGTTTGTTTTCTTACGTATAAATTAGGAAAATAATCGAAAATTCATGCATTTGTTAAATGAGAGCCCATGTAACACTTTTCATATAGTGGGTCAATACATACATGCTACACCCCCAATACATGGTAGCTATCATTATTCTGCTTTGCAGACCTCTGTGTATTAAAGGCAAGTTCTTTTTTTAATAGAATCAAGAAAATTTTGAGTGGCAAAGGACTTCAGAGATCATTCGGCCCAGTTTCTTTTCCTTTTTTCCTCCTTTCCTCCTCCCTGTGCTTTCTTCCTATTTTAACACAGCAGAAAACTGCTGCCCAGAGGAGTTAAGATTTGTCCAAAATTATAGCGGAATCAGGACCACAAAAGAACTTCTACTCTAATGCTGTTTTCTAAGGGCTTTTAGCCTAGTCTTTTTTATAGATAAGTTCCAGTCAGGACAAATTAGTATTTTAATAATAGAATTTTCAAAAAAATTTTTTTCTTAAGTATAGTTGACTGGCTGACACACAACACCACATTAGTTTCAGGTGTACAACATAGTGATTCCATAAGTTTATACATGATGCTATGTTTACAAGTGTAGCTAGGGATTTTTTTTTTTTAAATAAAGGTAAGTACAAATTCACGTTTGTGTGGAAGAATTAGATGAGAAGATTTACAAAATGAGGAAATAACTGTCTTTGAAAGATTAGTTCAGTTTCATGTTTATATTAACCAGGCTCATTCTGAGAGGTGACTTAACCGTTTTTAGACATTTTAAAGACAAAATTCCTATTTAATTCATCGTTATTGTTGTATTTCCCTGTGTTGGCTCACAGAAAACAGCTTCGGTAAGTAATCTAAGAAAATAAGGAATGTTAAGCTGGCCACACACACAGCACAGGTGTGTCATGTGTACACATGGAGGGGCTCCAGGACAAGGAAATGTACGACCTAATAAAAAAGTGGTTGGGCAAGGAGTCGCGCATTAATTATCTGAAGAGAGAATGCATTCAAATGCGTCTTTTTTCAATCAAGGGAAACCAAACCGAAACACCGCTGTGAGGACGGATAGACTGGTAGACGTGGGGCCACCACGTCGTGCTGCCGCAGCGACCGGTCCCTAGGGCAGAACCTTGTGGGCCGGGCCGCTGTAGGGTGGTGTGCGCGTGCGCGTCCGAGCGGTGCCGCCACACAGACCGCGCGAGGGGGCGCCGGTCGGGAACAAGCAGCCGCGGAGGTGGGCGCCGTGGACACAGCCCCCTGCTCTGGTGAGCGGGGATTCCTGAGGTGGCGTTCGGGAAGCGAGACCAGAGGTGGGGAGAAGCCAGCCACGTGAAGGGGGCAGGGACGCCCCACGGGAGCGTGCGCGGGAGCACACGCCGGCCCCGAGGCGGGAGAGGCGGCAGGGCTGAGGGCCGGGGCGTTGCCCGTGGCCGCTGACGCGTCGGGATTTCGTTCTTGGGGGAGATGGGAAGCCAGTGCAGGGGTTGAAGCAAGGCAGAGGACTGGGCTGGGTTAGGTTTTCGAAGTGGTTTTCTGGTTTGTGTGGAAAGCAAATCGGTTGGGAGAAGGATGCCTCGTGGCAATCATGTGGGTGGCCTGGGGGGGGGGAGCCAAGGGGGCCGGGCCGCGGGGGCGCCGCCGGGGGGCGGGGGGGGGGAGCCCGGGCCGATTGCAGGGCGGGAAGGGGAAGCAGGGAGCCCGCCGAGCCGCGGCCTCGGGTTTGAGCCCTCAGGCGCGAGGGGACCGCAGTTTGTCTAATGGGAAACACGAACAGAGGAGGGAAATCGAGGTAGTGGTCTTGGACACGGACACCCGAAGATTCACTCACCCAGAGGGGTGCAGACACCGTTGCATTCAGCCCTCAGTGGGTCGGGAAGGCAGGCGTGGCACACCGGGAGGAAGTCCAGCGATGGCTCTCTGTTCTGTGTGGGATGCCGCGAAGAAGTTGAACAGTAAACAGAGCAATTGTCCTTACATACTATGAGTAGCAGTCTTTCAGTTTGTTAAAAGACTTCATGTGGGGGGCCCCTGGGGGGCTCCGTCGGTTGGGCATCCCACTCTTGTTTTCAGCTCAGGTCATGATCTCGGGTCTGAGATTGAGGGCCCAGTTGGGCTCCAGGGCAGTCTGCTCCAGCTTCTCTCCTGCTCCCTCTGCACCCCGCCCCCCCAAGCTCGCCCGCTCTCAAAGAAATAAATAAAATCTTAAAGAAAAGACAACGTGGGCATTTGATGTGAATTTAGAATTCTTTTTTTCTTTACAGAGTTCTGTATAAAGTATAAATCTCCACACAATAGAAGTTGACACTATATGGCAGTATAATTATTTTGAAATTCTCTTACTGATCATCATTAATTTTGTTAAAAGTCTCTGTGAACCTAATAGGACTTCAGTTGTATTTTCTGCATCACTGACGTTTAGTCAGGTAAAGACTTAAAGTGAGGGGCGCCTGGGTGGCTCAGGTGGTTAGGCGTCTGCCTTCCGCTCAGGTCATGATCCCGGGGTCCT